CCTTGATCAATTTATAATATTTTTTTGATTTTCCAAGCAGCAAAATTGTGATGTCTTTAATCAAGAGTTCCCATTGTAGAATGGAAGAGGTGGAGAGCGCGATTCTTTCGAATTAATTGGCTGACGTCCAGGACATATTGACAGCTCTCGTTTTTTTCTTCATGCACCTTTGTGATATTGACTTGTGTATATGTGACCCTGTTCATGAGGCCCGATGCGTTTTTCTCACTTTGTTTTCTCAGTCATTCTACTTGAGATTTGTGAATACTCTAGTTTGTTTGCTCTGCATATAAAGCTCCTTGTGATAAAATCCTATCTTCTATTTGAGTTGAGGTATCTCGTTTTGCCCAGTGTACAGCTTCAGCTTTATGAACCTCCAATACATCCCTTGTCATTCTCCTCTGTTTTCCCAATGCAGCTGATATCACGTTTATGAAAATTTACGATTTCGACAATCTCAATAATCAATGGTTTCATTATAGGTCAATTGGTTGTCAACCTTTTGTTCCACAATAGACTTTTTTTGGTGATTTTGTAATGCTGCTGTTGCTTCAATTGCGTTCTTTAACTCATCTCAGTATCGCAAAGTAGATTTGAATATTATTATTGAGGTGCAATTTTTGTATTTTTGTGATAAGAAAATGAACGGTGTTCGGACGTTGCTGTCATAAATCTATTTTTTCGAGATTTGATAAATGTCTTCATTGTGCTTGTGCGGCACTTAGTATTTCTCAACCTTTGGCTCAGGCCATTTACGTCAATTGAGTGTTGCAACACTCGCTGTGGTGCTCCGTATAAAGGTCGCTCTTTTAGTCAAAAGTTTAGCCATCATTATTTGTGATTTTTCATGATGGGCATAGTCATAGAGAATGTCATTCAGGACATCGCTAGCGCATGGATCGCGAAGCTGGTGGGAATGAGAATGTTCCATTGTTACGGGATGATCAGCGAGGGCAGATCTATCTGGAAGGAGGAGACGATATGGAGCCTACGCATCGTGGAAGTGTAGAAAATGTAGACGATGCTAGCGAGAGACGCCCAACAGGTTCGTTCCTTGGATCAAAAATTGGGTTGGCCATAAGTAATGGCGTTTTTTCAATTGGAAATTTCTTTCAAAAAGTGAAATGTTTTGCGAGCAAGTTCGATATCATCTGATAGGAAACTTCTCGTACTATAAGAATAGCGAAACAGGAAATAATGAGTGGGGAAAGAAAAATAATGAGTGGGGTTTCGGGTGAGGAAATAATTTCTTGTAAATTTTTTAGTCGTTGAAGTTGAAAGTTGAGTCGGCGAAAATTAGTACCTTCGACAGCTGCCTCTATTTACGTCTATTCGAAGTGCTAAAATCGCTTAAGCTGCTCCATACATTTGCAATTTGAGCTAGAAGTCCCAGCGAGGGAATCCTCATAGGACGCTTCGGAACTAATTTCAAGAATTTCGAAGTTGGCAACCTTCACCTCGCAGATAATGGGCAGGATCACAAGTCATCGCGTCTGTTCCACTTGAAATTTTATGCTGTAGTGGATGTTTCGCTAATATGTTTTATATGCTCTGATAGCAAATTTCGTGCTCTATAAAACTGCAGTGGAAATCTGTTTTCCATAGCTGTTCACTTTCTATTAATTTCAGGTTACTAATACGGAATGTCAGACCGATGAGAATCAGCGTCCTGACACTCCGAGTCTGTCACCGAGAAGGCATTGAAAAGCTGGCTGATCGGTGGGAGGGGAGGTTATTAAGAAACAATTCTGAGAATACATTTCTTGAACGGTTAGTTTTATTGAAAAGATCTTTTTTTTATATAGAACAATTTATTTTCAATAAACTCGTCAAAAATATATTTCTATTTTTTGAATTTTTGAAAAATATTATAATAAAGATATTTATTAAATAAAACTAATAAATTATTAATAAATAAATAAATTAAATTGATTAAATTATTAATAATTAATAATTTAATTTGAATATTTCCATAAAGAAATGCCTGAGGAGATCGGGTCTACAGAACATTGTTGGGTTAGTAGGAGCGTTCCTCCTTATAAGCTAAAACTGTCGCCTGGTTCGAAAAACCGCCTCTTACGAATCGACATGTGTACCCCTGATTGTGTTAGATTTGCCCTGCTGGCGCAGGTGAAGAGTCTGCATTGCTTACAGGTTGTGGTCTACAAGATCTCCTGTCTATCTTGCGGAGACGAATACATTGGTGAAACGGCTAGACCACTCCATGTGCGGATCAAGGAGCATCTGGATGGAAAGTCTAGACTGCGTGTATCAACCCCATTAGGATGCCACAGGGTACAAGAACATAACGGAGACGATTTTGGAGTCACGGTAGAGATTTTAGAGCGCGAAGACCAACTTTCCGCGCGAAAAACTCTCGAAGCATTCTGGATTCAGGTCAGGAATCCAAGAATGAACCGCAGGGGAGAATGCTTATCAATCACGCGAGAGCTATCTCCCTATATAAGATTAGCATTTAACGGCTCTGGATAGTCTCAGTTCGAAAACTTCTATCACCGAGGCTCGTCGTTTGATCTGGTGAATTCGGTTGAGGGTATTCTTGGTTGTTTCTTTCGAATTACGTGCTGGACTTAGAGGAGGGTCGAAAGGGTAGGGCGTGCTTTGATGGTAGGTCGGAGATCATTAATTCAGCCTGACCCTTTCAGGCTCCGAAGAAGGCGAGAACGCCGAAACGTCAGCCAATAAACATTCATAACAACCTCGTCTGAGCAGTTCAAAGAAAAACTTTATAACAACATATAAAAAGCAGATGCCGAGGTTAAGAGACAGTCGGACTTGGAATTTACTTCAGAATGTACCAACTGAGTACCACCGACTCGTCAGGGAAGCTCTATCTCTGAGGCAAAAATTGTCTCAGCTCGACAGTCGATCCACTTTCTCAAGCGCTGTCTGGATCAGCAAGTAATACCGAAGTTTATTGCGAAGAAGCGATTACGAGATCTCGTCGGCGGCCCGGAGGCGCACCGGAAAATACGAAAATGGACATCGAATTAAGACTCCTTCGCATAGCTCTACGCGCAAAACGTGATCATATGTTCGCTATGTTGAAAAAGTGTCTGTCAAAAGAATACTATTGTACGCAGTATTTGGAGGATCGTCTCTGGAGGAGAATACGAGTGGATGGATCCAAGCTTGATTTGTGATCCGAATACGATCTAGTGTCAAAGCTACCTTGCAAAGAAAATTCGACGACCTTCTCGGTTCATCAGGTAATTTCGAAAGGGAACCTCCTCGTACCAATACTAATCGGACTAACGTAGACAAACAGCCAGTGAGGTAAGGCATTCGAACTTGTCGGTATCCAGAGTCACTGTTTTGGGAGCTTTCAACCTTTCCGACAGCGCGCGCTCCATTTTGGAAATGGGTCCCAGTTTTTCACCAACACAACCCATTTCCACTGTTTTTATGCGCAAGGTGATATGTAGCCTACATGAACTCCAAGATCGCCTCCGCTATAAAGCCAAGGTTGACAGGGGTGTTTCAGTATCTGGTCAAACGAGGGCAGCACTGAATATACCCTTTCCCAATATACACTTCAAGCAACAAGACCCTGATTATTGCTTCAGATATCAGCTTCAAAATCTTTGCTGATGAAGTGTTCAGAGTGTTCAGCAGGTACCAGAACCACCACACGCCTTCTAACCTCTCACGTACGCAGATGTCTGGACTCAATGAGCTTCGAGACTTGGTCAAATCCCAGACTATTAGACTATCCGTCAGCGATAAGGGAGGAGAGTTCGTGGTAATTCCTCGCCAGCTTGACCACGACATAACGATGCGACATCTTTGGCAGATTCTCTCTACCGACCATCATCAGCCTAAGGAATTCCAATCGCAATCCAAAACTGAATCGGCAGGGGTGAACGGTGGGCGCAAATCAACGGAGATTGACTCAAACTTTGTATTTAAACCGCCTCCAAGCTTGATACACACTTGTTCTGCCTAGTTCTATGATCTGCTTATAAAACACAAGTTCTTCGGCCACGGAACAGCCTGACCACCATTAGTCCTACGACGTCGTTTAAAGTCAGGCCAATATCAGCTGTGTAGGGGACCTTACTATAGGATCGCTTGGTTCCTCAACACTATTCTGACACAGTTGCTTCGATACATACCGTCACACCTCTCCAACACTCAGATGTTCCTGAACCACCTCGCTAGAGCACATCCAAACAGCTCCAGCGTCATGGAGTCCTTTGACGTAGAAGCCCTCTACACGAATGTCAGTAACGGTGCTGCTATGGAAGCCCTTTTTGAGCTCCTCAATCAGCACCGTGACCTGATTAATATGCATGGGCTTTCCGTAGATCAAATAATGATGCTGCTGAAAGAATGTCTCAGCTGTAACATCTTCAGATGGTCTGGAATGTACTTCGAGCAGATTAGGGGCTTAGCTATGGGACAACGGCTGGCGCCCACTTTAGCCATTGCTTTCATGGCTAAAATCGAAGCGCCTGTTTTAGATCAAGTTCCACTGCTTTATTGCCGATACATTGATGATTGTTTCGTAATCTGTTCCACACAAGAGGAAATGGACAACTATTTCATCCTAATGAACGAGCAGTCCGAACATATAAGACTAACGCGTGAGAAGCCAGTCAATGACTGGCTCCCATTTCTTAATGTCCAGATTAAACTTGAGGGGTCCACTTATCTCACCAGGTGGTATAGAAAACCCAGCAATAAAAACATCATCGTCCATTTCCGATCAGCCCACCCACTTCAGACTAAGCGGGCTATCGTCAGGAATATGTTCCGGACCGCCGCAAAAGGGTTGTGCGGGAGCGATGCGAAAAGAAAGGCTCACTGAGCACGTGAGATTGCTGAGCAGAACGGCTACCACCTCCCCTCGACTGTGCGTAGAACTAGAACAGATGTTGCTGCGAGTAGACCAGGTAACCCATTGATGGACAAAATACCATTCATGCTACCTTTCATCTCCGATGAAGTAAGCATTTCCATAAAGAAATGCCTGAGGAGATCGGGTCTACAGAACATTGTTGGGTTAGTAGAGGTTCCTCCTAATAACCTAAAACGTCGCCTGGTTCGAAACCGCCTCTACGATCGCACATGTGTCACCCCTGATTGTGTAGTTTGCCCTGCTGGCAGGGAAGGAGACTGCATAGTTACAGGTGTGGTCTACAAGATCTCCTGTCTATCTTGCGGAGACGAATACATTGGTGAAACGGCTAGACCACTCCATGTGCGGATCAAGGAGCATCTGGATGGAAAGTCTAGACTGCGTGTATCAACCCCATTAGGATGCCACAGGGTACAAGAACATAACGGAGACGATTTTGGAGTCACGGTAGAGATTTTAGAGCGCGAAGACCAACTTTCCGCGCGAAAAACTCTCGAAGCATTCTGGATTCAGGTCAGGAATCCAAGAATGAACCGCAGGGGAGAATGCTTATCAATCACCGCGAGAGCTATCTCTCCCTATATAAGATTAGCATTTAACGGCTCTGGATAGTCTCAGTTCGAAAACTTCTATCACCGAGGCTCGTCGTTTGATCTGGTGAATTCGGTTGAGGTATGTTGGTTGTTTCTTTCGAATTACGTGCTGGACTTAGAGGAGGGTCGAAAGGGTAGGGCGTGCTTTGATGGTAGGTCGGAGATCATTAATTCAGCCTGACCCTTTCAGGCTCCGAAGAAGGCGAGAACGCCGAAACGTCAGCCGATAAACATTCATAACAACCTCGTCTAAGCAGTTCAAAGAAAAACTCTATAACGACATACATTTTTTTATGCTTTTGCAAATTATTTGTGTTTGAAATTCAATCAAGGAAAGACAAAAAAAAACATTGTGAGGCATTGTGGACGACCGGATGTTTGCTAGGTTCAGGAGTTGTTCGTGTTTGCTGTTTCTCTAGAATTTGCAATTGTGAGCCGTCGCTAAATATTAATCTGCTTACTCAATGCCTTTATCTTGAACCATGGCGAATTCTATTGAGCTGGCCTCTCAGGGGCTTTGGAAGCTTCCCGGAAAACCGTAGGGGAGATGAGATAGTCCGGCGAATGCTTGATTGCTCTATCGACGGCTGACATTCCGTATTGATAACCTGAAATTGAATAGAAAAGCAAACAGCTATGGAAAACAGATTTCCATTGCAGTGTTATAGAGAACAAAATTTGCTATCAGATCATACAAAACATGAAACATTCAACTATTAGCATAAATTTCAAGTGGAACAGACGCGATGACTTGTGATCCTGCCCATTATCTGCAGGTGAAGGTTGCCTACTTCGAAATCTTGAAATTAGTTCCGAAGCGTCCTATGAGGATTCCCTCGCTGGGACTTCTAGCTCAACCTATTGCAAATGTATGGAGCAGCTTAAGCGATTTTAGCACTTCGAATAGACGTAAATAGAGGCAGTTGTCGAAGGTACCGACTCAACTTTCAACTTCAACGACTAAAAAATTTACAAAAATCATTTCCTCACCCGAAGCTGTTTCGATATTCTTATAGTACGAGAAGTTTCCTATCAGATGATATCAACTTGCTCGCAAAACTTTTCACTTTTTGAACGAAATTTCCAATTGAAAAAAACGCCATTACTTAAGGCTAACCCAATAATTACTGTGGATTATTGTGCATGAATGAATGTTTCGTTTTGGTACTTGTTTACCCATCTCAGTCTCAACAATCAGGTGCGACAGTCACGTGCCGTGTATGTGAAGAGCAAATTGAACTCAACGGTCGCGACAACCAACATGTTGTCAAGTGCAGTGCGTGTCACGAAGCTACACCAATTCGTCCGGCTCCAGCTGGCAAGAAGTATGTCGAGCTGTGTTGAATTTTTTACGCTTATTCGTTAAGCCATGTTAAGTGACAGTGGTCATTCCTAACTTTCAGATATGTGCGTTGCCCATGCAACTGTCTCCTAATTTGCAAAGTAGCATCCACTCGTATTGCATGTCCACGCGGAAATTGCCGCCGTGTAATTACTCTTGGTAAACGCTATTCCCTTAAAACCCTTAAATTTCATTTTTTTTCTATTAGATCTCGTTCGTTCTATCTCACTCAAAAACGTAAAAACGTGTTCATTCAAATAAAATAAGAACAGCTGAAATAGTAATACCTTGGTTTGAAGTTAAGTAGATCTCTCTTTAATCAGTGACCCGCTCCCAGTGTTTAGGGAGCGTTTAGCCACTTCGTTTTTTCAACAAGAGCGAATAAAATGCGCGGTTTGCGGCGAATAACAAATGTCGTAGTATTTGCCGTTGGAAAGTACCTTCGACTGAACAGAACAGGTGAAATTGCGCGGCTGTAGGTCGGGCGAATGAGGCGGTTGAACCCAGCTCTCACTATCACTTGTGGTCGAGTACTGCTCAATAACACATTTACTCGGGGTCTGGCACTATGACGAGCAACGGTGGCCTTCTTGTAGTTGTGTGGTACCATCCATTTGTCGATCTGATTGCCGAGGAACAGGCAATATACACCGACAGTGACGGTTTTGTTATCTGTATAGGGCCGCTTAAAAGCTACAGTGCAGAGAAGTATTGCCATAATGATTGTCCACTTGTGCCCGCGTAGCTCCTCATGACAGAATTTGGGCGGCTTCTCATCGACATTCATTCGAAGCCGCAAAAATTAAAATCTTAGTCTCGCGGGGAGCTCGGGAAGAATCTATCTGTTAACAGACATTTAGTGCTTTGCTTCACTCGCTTTCCTTGTGCAGGACGAACAGTATGGGTCCTTCTCAACGACCGTTTTTCTGCGGTCTTTCTTCTCTGGACTTTTGCGTCCATTCTTCCCCGTTTCGAGAACAATATCATCCGCAATCACAGGTCCAGCACAAGTTCGGTTTGACCAGCAGAGCTTCCTTGTGCGACGCTCTATTCGATAGTTCGCTAGCTTTGACCACTCAGCTTTCTTTTCAGTTTCTTGAGTTTCACCTTTGCAGCCATGCAGGCCAAATTTCACGATTAGGTAGCTAAATGTACTAGATTTCAAACGATATAGAAGCTCACGCAGCTAGTTTCTTTGCCTTCCTGCCACTTCTTTATCTCTGCACGTCTTTGAATGAGATAACCGAATGCTATTTCATTTGCTCTTTTCTTGTTTCGATTCGACGACTTTTTTAGTGCATTTATTTCCAGGACATCGCGAACCTCAAGGAAGCGCTATTCGTGCACCAGCTAGCAGTTGTCGTGTCCAATGTGTTCACTGTTCCGAAATATTCGACACCTTGAGCAATTATCTGGCGCACTGCCCACATTGCAAGAAGAAGTTTGTTTCTTTTCTTTGTTTGTTCTTAACCTATTTTTCTTTTTGTTTG